AGCAGGGCCACTGGGATTAGAACTGGCAGCCATATGGGATCCCAGCGAGTTCAAGGTGAGGATTTTAGTTGCTAGACTACTGTGCTGATCCCCCTAATCCGAATTTTTGCCCAGAGCCCGTTGCTTAGGCAATGTGTGGCATCATCTGCCAGCTGGGTGTGATGGTGGCAGGGTACAGATGGTGGTGGTGGTGGTTGTCATTTTAAGATAGTCTGGACAGTATGCCAAAATCACAGGTCCCTGTGACTGCTTAATCTGAAAAAGTTCTAAAACCGTAACAGTGTCAAGAGATGCATAAGGGCTACCATAAGAAACAGTGGTAAAAAACCACCACTCCATGTTAAGGGGAGTGGTGAAAGGTTTTCTTTATGTAGGCATACCGAGTGGGCAGCCCAAGTTGTTGCACTTGAACAGTGAGTCCCAACAACACAGAGACATCTGTTCATGGTAGAAACAGACTAGTCAGTGCAGCCGGAAGCAACTCTGGCCTTCTTGAGGCCATCCTTCAAAGTGACCAAGGCATGGTGAGTCCTCAGGACGTGCAGATCCATGGCCGCTCAGGGAGAAAGTTAACATGTGGAGGCAGGAAGGCCCAGCAGGGCATTGGGAGGTGGGTATAGCATCAGCCCCAGGTCACCTGCAGGGAGTTCAAGACACGGTAGCAGATGTTGATAAGCAGAAAAAAACATTAAAGCACATTCTGTCATGTAGGACACTTTCATTCTACAACATATGACTATACAAGAGTTTGTCTCTCGGAAGTTATTTTCGGCCTCTTTGGAGACGTAGGGAGAATCTCACCACTGATTGTTGAGCTGTAGAAGGTACATTTGGGCTCTGTTATGCTTTTGCTTTAGCCTCACTTAGGTAGTCTCTTGGTACCACCTGCAGTTGATTGTCCGCTTACTTAGTTGGCCTTGCTTTCTAATGAGGGGCTCAGATAAGATAGAAACTGATCAGAGATGGGTTTGTTTCATGATCCAGCAACCTTGTTAAATTCCATTATTAATGTCAACATTTGTATCATAGGCAATCATGTCATCTGTGACTAATGGTGCTGTTTGCTTTCCTTCACGCTTGTGTTATTTCCCTTTTGTTGCCTGTGCATTGGACGGTGGCTTCAGAGCAGTGTTAACAGAGTCCGAGTGGGGGTCTCCATGTTTTATTCTGAGTCTGGGAGGGAGGATTTTCCGACTGGTGCTGAATTTTATTGAACGTAAGTTGCATCTGGAAAGGTTGGTAGACTTCAGTCAGATGCTTTTATCTGCATTTGTTGACACAGTGATGACTCTTCTGCTTTCTGAAATGTGAGTTTTATTAATTGCTTCTTAAATGTGTAAACACCTTTGTATTCCTGGAAGGACCTCCTTTTAGTTATGATGTATTATTACATTTTGTTCATTTATTTGCAAGGCACAGTGGCGGGAGGCTGGCAAAGGACATAAGAAAAGATGTTTTTTCCATCTATGGGTTCGGTGCTGGGCCAGGTCAAAGCCAGGAGTCAGGAAGTCCCTTCTGGCCTCTTGGGGGCAGGCAGCAGGAAGCCAGGTTCTTGAGCCATCGGATTCGCAGGATGTTGGATTGGAAGCAGGGACCAGACTGAATCCTAAACACTCCAGCTTGGGCTGAGGGCATTTCAAGTGATGGCTGAACGGGCTGTGCCACAACATTCACCTGAAGCTTCAGTGTTATTACTTTTTATATTTTATTAGTACTTTTCTGTCACTTTAAAAAAGATATACTTATGGCCTAGCGTGGTAGCTTAGCAACTGAAGTCCTCGCCTTGAACACTTTGGAATCCCATATGGGTGCCGTTTCTAATCCCCGTGGTCCCACTTCCCATCCAGCTTCTTGCTTGTGGCCTGGGAAAGCTACATCACAGGGCAGGTTTGAGCTACCAGTCCAGCTCCCTGTGAGTGTGCCTGGAAAGAGTGGAGGCTGGTCTAAGTACTTGGGGGCATGCCACCCCAGTGCAAGACCTATGCAGGAGTTTGAGACATGAACTAGGAAGTGGAAAGAACTCATTCTCCCTCTGTCTGTCTCTTTCTCCTTTGTCACTCTTTCAAATAAAGTAAATATATCCTTTTAAAGATCTTTATTTTTATTATTTTTTTTAAATTGGAAAGGCGGATATACAGAGAGGAGAGACAGAGAGGAAGATCTTCCGTCCGATGATTCACTCCCCAAGTGAGCGCAACGGCCGATGCTATGCCGATCCGAAGCCAGGAGACTCTTCCGGGTCTCCCACGCGGTGCAGGGTCCCAAAGCTTTGGGCCGTCCTCGACTGCTTTCCCAGGCCACAGGCAGGGAGCTGGATGGGAAGAGGGGCTGCCGGGATTAGAACCGGCGCCCATATGGGATCCCGGGCATGCAAGGCGAGGACCTTAACCACTTGCGCCACCGTGCCGGGCCCAATATATCCTTTTAAAAAAGATTTATTTATTTTTATTGGAAAGGCAGAGATACAGAGAGGAGGAGAGACAGAGAGGAAGATCTTCCGTCTGATGATTCACTCCCTAAGTGGCCACAGTGGCCGGAGCTGAGCCGATCTGAAGCTAGGAGCCAGGAGCCTCTTCCCTCATGGATGCAGGGTCCCAAGGCTTTGGGCCGTCCTCAGCTGCTTTCCAAGCAGGGAGCTGGAAGGGGAGCGGGGCCCCTGGGATTAGAACCGGCGTCATGTTGGGGTCCCAGAGTGTGCAGAGTGAGCACTTTCGTCATTAGGCCACTGTGCTGCCCACAACCCCCCAAAATCTTAAAAAAATAAAGTATATTTTGAAAATTTTTTTGACTAGATAATATTTTTTGAAATACATTTTTCAGTTTCTAGTCAATGGTGGATTTTGTAGTTGGTGTCTGGATTAAATCTTAACGCAGAACATACTCTTTCATTTGTCATGTGGCCAATGATAAAGATTTTACACATGTGCGATTGATAAGCTTTTAAGGTTTCCTGTTGGGCATGCTGTCAGTTTGGATCAGGTTTGCTGTGCAGTTCACCTTTCAAGGTGATTTGGCAGGGTAGAGAACGCTCAGGGACACTCCAGCTGTCACCCCACTCCACACTCAGGCACCCCCGGCTGTCACCCCACTCCACACTCAGGCCACCCCCCCAGCTGTCATCCCGCTCCACACTCAGGCACCCCCCCGGCTGTCACCCCACTCCACACTCAGGCACCCCTGACTGTCACCCCACTGCATGCTCAGGCACCCCCGACTGTCACCCCACTCCACACTCAGGCACCCCCCCGGCTGTCACCCCACTCCACACTCAGGCACCCCTGACTGTCACCCCACTGCATGCTCAGGCACCCCCGACTGTCACCCCACTGCACGCCCAGGCACCCCCGGCTGTCACCCCACTCCACACTCAGGCACCCCCCCGGCTGTCACCCCACTCCACACTCAGGCACCTCCGACTGTCACCCCACTGCACGCCCAGGCACCCCTGGCTGTCACCCCACTCTTCACCCTCAGTTGCTGGCCTTTCCCTCTTGGTAAAGCCTCCATATGTAAGCAGTCATACTCATCTTTCATTTCTGCTTTTTGGGTTCTTATTTATTCTTTGCACATACAAACAGATGTATTTTTATTGTTGCTCTTTTTACAACAGGTGCTTACACACATAACAGGATAGCTGTCTTTTGTGTTTCAGGTTTAGAACTTAGTCATATCATCAGTTATAGAGCCATGCCTCCTAGGTCCGCTGTGATGGGAATGTACCACAGCGTATTCGTTTGATCTGTGTGTGAGCGTTTCTTGTTGCCCAGTGATCACCAGGGCTGCACTTGAAGAAGCTGTGCTTATGTGTTTTCTTATTTTTTTCTAACTGTTCATTCCTTAGTTCAGACTGTGTAACAAAATACATGGATTGTGTATCTTATAAGCTGAGGTCTTGAGCGTTTCCACCTCGATCACTGCTGCATGATGAATCTGTTTCATTGTAGCTTTGCTGGAGAGCCAGAGCTAGCTGTGTGGGACCACTGAGCCCATCCCCGTGGCTTTGTGTCATCCTTGGCCACTCCTGTGCTATTGAGGAGTAGAGTGGCAGCATGGACTTGGGTGGAGGGAGCCACCACATTCAGTCTGAGCATGAGAAGGCTTGTAGTAGCTCTTGCCAAATTCCTCGCCCTGAATATTTTATCAGTTTGCGTTCCTACCATCAGTGCATGAGTGCCTGCTCCTAATATGGCATGTTTAACATTTTTTGGTTTTTTAGTTACTCAGCAGTATTTACATGTTTGTATTTTTATTGAGGTGGAGTTGACACAACAGAGTTTGCATTTTTAGCCACTTGCAAGTGTGCAGCAGTATTGTACTGAGGAACCCATTTTCTGCGAGTGAGTGGTCCCCTTTCTGCTGCCTGGCCCAGTGCTTGTGTAGATGTACAGACACTGGAGATTTCTTGTAAGTGGAATTACAATTTGTGGCCCTAAATGCTTGGCTGCTTTGACTTAGAATAATGTTTCCTGATTTTGTGCTGTGTGCTTCAGAACTTCATTTCTTTTTTGTGTGGAATGGTGTTTTGTTGTTGAGTACCCCACATTTTGCTTTTGCAGTCAGCTGTTGGATCAGCAGGGTGTGTTGACACCGGTTTCTAATACCTACTGAATTTTTGATGTAGTGAGAAAACTTTTTGGTAGAAATTCTTAAAATAGACCTCAAGTTAATTTGACATTACTGTGAGATTTTCTCACTAAAGACTGTGACTAAAAAAAAAAAGAGGGATGTTGAGTTTCATTGTTTATGGATAACAGCGAGTTTTTGATATAGCTGACACAGGAGTACTGTTCTGTCCGTGATTTGTTGAACTCTTGTAAACCGGAGGTGTCCTGGTGTGGTGAGACAGTGATGGTTGTGGTCGGTTAGGGCCCTGTCCGTCAGCTGCTTCAGCCTGTGTTGTAAATAGAGAATATGGGAGTGTTGTGCAGTCCGGCATCACAGTGTGGTGGTGGATATGGAGTATCGTACACTGAAAATTATTTTTTTTTTCTTTTTCACAGAGTATGACAGATACCTAGCATCCAGCAGAATAATGGCAGCTGCTTACCTTGACCCAAACTTGAATCACACACCAAATTCAAGTACTAAGATTCACCTGGGAACTGGTACGGAACGTTCCCCTGGTGCCATGGAGCGAGTGTTAAAAGTCTTTCATTATTTTGAAAGCAATAGTGAGCCAACCACCTGGGCCAGTATTATCAGGCATGGAGATGCTACTGATGTCAGGGTAAGTGCATTTTCCCACAAGACATCTATAATGTGTATTTGGGTTATGCTTTAATGACACATACAAGAAAAGGTAAGGCTGTAGTTTTTATTTAACTTGTCAAGGAATTCCTATATTGCAGATATAGTAACTTTGTTAGATTTATTCAGTTACTGTGCGATTGACAGTTTTAATTATTCTAAAATTTCTTAGGAAAATAATAACTGAATTCATAGTATTTTAGTTAGAAACTGTCATTGACTTGGTAGTCGTAATTTTTTTTTTTTAATTTTTAGAAAAATTAGTACAAGAAAGTAAAACAGCTAGAGGCATGGCCCCTCTCTGTAGAGCTCCAGATATGGTGACTGTTGCCAAGTGTTGACTGTCCCATCCCATGCTCTGTGCTGCTGGAGCTCAGCGCCTGCAGAGGGCGCCGCAGGACGGCGCAGTGCAGACCGGCCTTTCCAGAAGTTACTCCCAGGCTGTGCAAGGAGTTGCTGCTGGAAGGGAGATAGGCCAAGAGAGGGAAGGAGCAGAACATGGGACCGGAGCGCCACGATTTTAGAAAACTGGCTCAGTTTGTAGTTTCTTCAGGGAGGGTTTCTCTTTGATCAAGTGCTCAGGAAATACCTTCTTCCTCTTCCACTTGCTCTACGTTCACCTTTAAGTAGTGAGTGACTGGAAAATTCAACATATTTTTTTTACTTTGTTTTTACAGTAATGAAGTTAATGAATTTGCTGTTGTTTTAATTATATGCCTTAACTATTATTAATTAAGTAAAGGGATTGGATAGTTTTAGACTTAAGGCTGAAATTTTTTTTATTATTAAATTTTTTTCTTAATTGGAAAGGCAGATTTTACAGAGAGAAGGATAGACAGATCTTCCATTCACTTAATAAATATTCAGGACTTAAAATTATACCACAGAATTCACTTTGGGAAGACTGTAACAAGCGAGCTTTGGTTGCTTTGTAGGAGGATTGTCACCGCAGAGAGCACCGTGGGCCACTCCAGGTGTGCCAGCTGGCTGCCAGTGTGGAAACCTACACCAGGTGCCAGGGCTCAGGTCGCCAATAGGCACCAAGCGTGCAGTGCTGCGGGTCAGTGGGAGCAAACCTCTTGGGCCGAAAGTCGTTTGTTTCGCGGTGATTCATAAATATTTGAAATTGATTTACTCTTGCCCTTTGTTGGCATTCAAGTTGAGGCAGAGAAATCAGATTGGCATTACATGACCGTCATTTAATGTTTCCCAGGATAACATGAAGTCTGCATGATCCTGGGTCATAGATGGAAGACTGGGTATCAAACCCCATGTTCACTGGATGCTTTAAAGTGATAGCGGTTGAAAATGCAGTGTTTGGGGCCCGGCACCGTAGCCTAGCCAGCTAGGTTCCTTGCCTTGAACACGCTGGGATCCCATATGGCTGCTAGTTCTAATCCCGGCGGCCCAGCTTCCCATCCAGCTCCCTAATTGTGGCCTGGGGAAGCAATTGAGGATGGCCCAAAGCCTTGAGACACTGCACCTGCGTGGGAGACCCAGAAGAGGCTCCAGGCTCCTGAGTTTGGATCAGTTCAACTCCACTGTTGCAGTCATTTGGGGAGTGAATCATCAGATGGAAGATCTTCCTCTCTGTCTCTCCTTTGTGTATAGCTGACTTTCCAATAAAAATAAATAAATCTTTTTAAAAAATGCAGTTGTTTTCATTATTCCTGAACAAACTGTACTGAAAAGCATGCTGTGACAGCCTTATCTCTTTGGTAAGAAGCCGCAAATGAAGGGACATTACAGGTGCAGAAATGGGTAGTAAGATGAAAGTGACATGGCAGCACTTGAGGGCCTGATAGGGTTAGAACTATAGGAGGTGGTGGTCAAGAACAGGAGCAGTGCAGGAGCTGTGGCCAGCCCGTGGCCAGAAGCAGAGGCCCTGCAAGGGTAGACGTGGGGTAGATGTGGGCAGCTGTTTGCCACACACATTCCTGAGCTCTGGCTGGCACCTTCTGTCTCAGGGTCGACTCACACCCCCGGTCTCGGTCTTAGGAGGAGGAGAGACGTCTCAGCAGTGATTTGTCAGCATTAGACATGATAATATTTTTGATCTAGCAGACTAAATAAGTGCTATTATTTAGGCTTTTACTCTTTGTAATTTGGCTTCTAGTGATTTTTAAATTACATGTGTGGCTTGCGTTGTGTTTGTGCTGGAAAAGGTGGCTATGAGGAAGACTCTTGGATCACAGCAATCAGAACTCCTTGGAGAGTGTAAAGATTTGTTATCACAAAATAGCTGGTTTCTTGTAGCGGGTTGTTCCTTATTATTCCGTTAAGAAATGGTACTTTTGTATGAGAAGTTGAGAAAAATGCATGTTATGAAAAATGTCTATGGATTTAAAAAATTTGCATCAGAATAAGGCTACTTTGTAGTGGGCAGCTTCATGCCCTTCGCGAGTGCTCTGCTGTGTGCGCTTATGCTGAAAAGCCTGAGGGTTCAGGACAGCAGCAGCACCTGGGGACTTCACTTAGGGGTCTGGTTGTCACCTGCAGGCCTTGTGGCCTGGGGTGTGCTTTTTCTCCAGACCACTGACCCTGACGTCGGGGTGGTGGGCCCTGTGGCATGGTTACACAGGCATATTCCGTTCACAGGATTTTCCTCAGCCTGCACAGCCACTCAGCTGCCATTGCAACCAGGGACTAATCCTAAGTCCAGTCCTGCTCACTAAACAGTGCCAACAGGTGGACATGGCCTGCTGCTGCACCGTGCAGGAGCCTGAGGCTGCAAGCACCACTTGCATGACCCCTGTTGGTACGTGCGGAAGCAACTCTGGAAATAAGTGTGCATGTGTGGTAGGAGTTGTGGTGAACCTTTCTCCTGCCAAGAGATGTGATTTATTGATTTGAGAGAGAAAAAGAGAGTGAGCCTGGGACCTTCTGTCCTCTGTGCATTCACCAAATGGCTGCAGTGGCTGGAGCTGGGCTGGCCCTAGGCCAGGAGCCCAGAGCTGCTTCTGAATCTCCTGGGCGTACTTGGGCCCATGCACCCCAGCAGATGGGAAGGGCCATCTTCCACCACTTTCCCAGGTATATTAGAAGGGAGTTGGATCGGAAGTGAAGGAGTGGGCCCTGCGTGGTAGCCTTGTGGCTAAAGTCCTCACCTTGCATGCTGGGATCCCATATGGGCATCAGTTCTAATCCCAGCAGCCCTGCTTCCCATCCAGCTCCCTGCTTGTGGCCTGGGAAAGCAGTCGAGGATGGCCGAAAGCCTTGGGACCCTGCACCTATGTGGGAGACCAGGAAGAGGCTCCGGGCTCCTGGCTTCAGATCGGCTCAGCTCTGGCTGTTGCGGTTACCGGGGGAGTGAATCATTAGATGGAAGATCTTCCTCTCTTGTCTCTCTTTGTCTGTGTATGTCTGATTTTCCAATAAAGATAAGATAAATCTTAAAAAAAAGTGGAGGAGCTGTGACTTGAATTGGCATGTATATGGTATGTTGGCACTGCAGGCTGTGAATATACTCACTAACCATGGCACTGGCCCCATGTAGACTTTTATAACATTGTTTATGAGCTATGCAAAAATAATCAGCTTGTTTTTTTTCTTGAATTTATACCAGCTGCCTTCTTTTTTTTTTTTTAAGACTTATTTATTTTTATTACAAAGTCAGATATACAGAGAGGAAGATCTTCCATCCAGTGATTCACTCCCCAAGTGACTGCAATGGCCCGTGCTGCACCGATCTGAAGTTGGAAACCAGGAGCCTCTTCCGTGTCTCCCATGCGGGTGCAGGTCCCAAGGCTTTGGGCCGTCCTCGACTGCTTTCCCAGGCCACAAGCAGGGAGCTGGATGGGAAGTGGAGCTGCCGGGATTAGAACCGGCGCCCCCGTGGGATCCCGGTGTGTTCTAGGCAAGGAACTTAGCCGCTAGGCCACACCACTGAGCCCACCAACTGCTTTTTTATCATCAGGTTTCAGAAACCTTTCACAAGATGGCAAAGAACTGTTAGCGTATAAATGAGCTTGTTGTATGGGTTTATTGAATTTTAGGTCCTTCCAGCAAGAGCCTTGGCAGGACCAGACCATGCGATTGCATAGACCCTGCACAGCCCTCTTATGGCCCATCTTTGCTACAAGGAGTCCTTCTGAAATGACCAAGATTAGGCCAGGCCACGCAGTATTAAATAAGAGGGATCCTCTGGAAGTTCCAGGTTCGCCAGACAAATTTCTTCCCCAAGAGAAAGAATGACATTGGTACCAAACTTTTCATCAGCATTGCTAGGTGGATGAAAACTTAGACACAACTTCAAAAGGGCTCCAAGAAATAGCTGGTGTGTTATAAATGATTGGTTAGGAACATGTTGAGTGAAAGTGTAGTGAAATAGTGTAGGGAGTGTGTGCCATGGGGCTCGGCAGGGCGAGCGTGTGCGGAAAGCAGCGCCCAGCTCACGCCTGTGCCTGTATGCAGCCATCATTGCACCTCTCTTAGAAGCATGCTCTGAGTGCCATCGTGCAGCTCGTGACCTTGCTGATGCCCAGCTGTCAGGCAGTGTTCCCGGTCCTGTTCTAGACAAACGTTTCACTCTTGCTCTGCTTTCTTGAGCATGTCCACATGTTTCTCTGATTTTCCTTTCCCTAACATGTAAGTTTCACCTTTGTGTCTTTACACTTAGTGCTTTAAAAGAACTACAGAATGTTTTAGTCCAAGAGCTGGCCCTTGTTTTAATTGTTTGGATCCCTTGGAATCGCCTTTCACTCCTCTCTTGCTGACTCCTGCAGTGTTTCTGCATTACCTTCAGTCCAGTGCCTGTCCTTTATGCAGGCACCACGTGGTTTCCTCTCCCTCGGTCTGTTCATAGCCTGGCAGCCAGAACCCATCACTGCCATTTATTCCCTGCGCCGTCACCCTCAGGGTGTTATGCTAGTCACCCATTTCTGCTCCGCCTCGCAGAATAGCCATCTCTCCTGGTAGCTGGACAGTTCTCGGGGTACAAGCTGTGGCCTCTCCTGGCCCGCTCTGTCAGCTCTGTACCAC